GAACGGTTTTTTCAGGCTCCCCTGACTAAAAAGACTCTTGAAGATCGTATCATCCTTGTGCTCAGTTTGTATGATAAGATCGATCCAAAGAAGTTGACCATGGACTCTGATTTTGTTAAGGTTATCTTTTAAATATACGAATATATCCTTGCAAATAACCGAATTTCAAAGAAGCGCTCTTTCAGGACCTTGGTCTTGACTCTCTTGATCACGTTGAAATGGTCATGGCTATGGAAGAAGAATTTGGGTGAGATATTTTCTTATATGCTTTCTTCCAGTTATTCTTTGAAATTCTTTCTTATCACTACCCCAATTCCCTCAATTTTTTTTGTTGAGACTTCGCCTAGAAGGTCCATCAGGGCCTTGATAATGACATTCTTTTCTGGAGACAGCCTCGTTTTGCTCAGTAAGCACCGATATGGCGCTTCACCATTTTTCCATAAAAAAACTGTTACAACCTTCCACACCACTGTTATTAGGCGCCTGATCACTAGTATAACATTTCTTCTCAACACGGGTGCCATCCGACTTTTAGGCCTGGCTTCGCAATCTAATCTGGATTATTACGAGCAATGGCTAGATTCCGGGCTGTCGAAGTGGGACATTTCACGGCTTTGCAAAGTGGGCGTGGCTCGTAAGTACTGCTTGAGGAGATGCAAAAGCCGAGAAAATATTGAAACTTGCAAAATCCCTTGGAAAAGTGAGGATGACCAAGGCGCAGAGCCTAGCATGTCGGTACATAAACGCTTGTATCCTAGTAAGTTCGAAGTGTGAAGAATAAGGGTGGAAACGACAACGTTGAACAAAGTTTTGAAACTTCAGAATACATCACAAATCCCTGAAAATTGGGACGGAGTCGTTATGGTGAACCGCTATCAGTTATTGTGTATGTAAGAATAGCAAGAAACAAAAGCTAAATTTGAAAGAAGTTAAAATAGCAATCCTACTATGTATAATCCGCTGTTTGTCTGTGGTGTGTGTGTGTTTGACCGGAAATTCATAACTTCCTTCAAAACAGCGATAGAGCGCTCAAACTGATGGGTGATGTAGGGGGTCGGGCAAGAACACTATTGGTGGTGGCAGGAAGTGATAGCAGTTGATAAGAGCTGATAAGCGGCCTTATAAGGGCAAGGTCAGCAAATTTACGCGTCACAGCTAGAGCGTTGGTTCCAAGAAGTGAGATAGGGGCAGGATGGGAACATTATTGGTGGGTGGCAGGAAGTGATAACAGCTGATAAGATACCATAAGGAGCCTTAGAAAGGAGTGGGTTACCTAATTCATAACACCGGCCAGAGCAACGACCGGACGTTGGATCCAAGTAGTAAGATAGGGGGCAGGATGGGAACATTATTGGTGGGTGGCAGGAAGTGATAACAGCTGATAAGATACCATAAGGAGCCTTAGAAGGAGTGGGTTACCTAATTCATAACACCGGCCAGAGCAACGACGGACGTTGGATCCAAGTAGTAAGATAGGGGGCAGGATGGGAACATTATTGGTGGGTGGCAGGAAGTGATAACAGCTGATAAGATACCACGAGGAGCCTTAGAAGGGGTTAGTCACCTAATTCATAACGCCGGCCACAGCAACGACCGGACGTTGGTTCCAAGTAGTAAGATAGGGGGCAGGATGGTGAACATTATTGGTGGGTGGCAGGGCGTAACAACAGCTGAAAAGATACCATAGGGGCCACTTCAGAGGGAAGCCCCCAAAATTCAGTGCAGTTGTAGCAACACTGGGGAACTTCTTCCAGTAAGCAATTCAGAGGTGGTTAGGGAACATTGGTGGTGGGAGATAAGTTGTGATATAGTGTACGACAAGGGTCAGTATCTGTTCGCAGCTTTACTCCGCTTGCGACTGATGTTGACCACCGTGGCCCATGGAATCAATGGGCAAAGGCTCAGTGTTTCTATCCTTTAGTGTTATAGTCGAAATTGATTCGACCGCTAAACTCTCGAGTTTTGACAAAAAGTAAAAGCTTAAAGTTGTTCGCCAGTGGGGAATGATAAGGGCCACCAACAGACGGATATGTGAAAGCTGCTCAACGGAAGTATCTTGATGTAAGCACATTCCACTATGATCTCGGTATTGTTACCTTTCGACCGCTAAGCGTTTTATTGCCAGCTAATGATCTGTGTTTTTAGAAATCACATTGGCAATTGCTCATTAAGAGGAGAAATATGGAAATATGATGAAATGGGCCGAATTTTGAAACATGGGAATTAGGCCAAGTGTTAGGGGTCAGCACAGAAATCCTGTCATTGATCAGGACCACAGACTGAACCATGCGCGCAGTAGTGCGCGTCAGCCAAACTGGTATCTATGAACTTCCGAGCAAAGCAAGCTTCATTAGGGAGCCGGTCGTTCGGCGCGGCCGGATTGCCACTGGGGTGCATCGGCTG